ACACTATAGGTAAGATGCCATCAGGGCCCTGTGATTTATTTATTTTGAGCTTAGCTAGGCTTTGCAAAACATCAGCTTCAGTTATATATATATATCAGTTATAGACGATGCTGGATTAGTAATAAGAACTGGTAAGTTACTAGTGTCCTCAACAGTGAATACCCGTGCAAAACTATCATTGAACTCATTTACTATATCAATGTCAATGTTAAAAAAAAATGGTGTAGGTGGTGAAGCAGAAGAGAAATGAGGTTTGGCTGAGAGGATGAGAATCACTGCACGTTGCTTTGTCACGAACACGGAATAAGCCCAAAATGCATTTCTGTTCTGTTTCTTCATAAATGTCTTGGCACTAAAACACCAGCAGAACAGTGAGAACGCCATTTGTGGCGCTGAAGCGATGAATTGAGCTGACCTCTGTGCCATTAGAGGCCGGCCACAGTGAGTTTCCTTTATGATGTGCGCAGGAGATAAAGAGGCACGTGACCCAGTGGCTGAAGAGTGCTGCAGCACAGAGCGTGTGACGCGTGACACTCCAGCACACGCCAAGCTAGACAGCAAGCTTCTGCTCTCCAACCGCCTAGGATCCTCAATCCCAGCTTCTGCCTCAAGGTTTCCTGTGTGTAGGAGTCACACAGAGCTTTTGCTTTTGAAAATGTAACACTAATCCCCCACAAAACAGTATGAGAATATGTGTGTGTGTGTGGTTGAGGGGGGTGGGTTGCATATATTACATTGTTAGAACCAAATATCTTCACGGTGTGATAAAAACCTGTTATTTTGACATTGTGGGGACCATTTTTATAGAAATCTGTGACTGTAATCACTAAAAATGCCAAAAGTCTTGTATTTTGTTTGATTAGTTATAGTTAAGGTTAGGGCTGGGTAGGGGTTAAGGGTTTTACCCATAGAAATTAATGGACAGTCCCCACAAAGATATAGATACTTAATCTGTTTGTGTGTGGGTGACTATTTGGACAGTTAGCACAGCCCATAAAATTAAATTGCTAACAGAAGGTTTTCTCAGTCCCAACAGCAGGTGACATCCCGGCACAATTAAGAATCTCCTGGAGGATAATCTGCTGGTCCCTGTAAACCCTGTTTTCACCCATATTACATCATTTCCTGTATAGTAACTATGAAAGACAGAAGGCTGAATTCCATCTTTGTTGTACGGGATGCATGTAGGCAAGCCGTTAGAATCGCATTTGCTATTTAAGGGTCCAAAGCACGTAGTGCTATGGAACCTTATTATTATTATTATTATTATTATTATTATTATTTTATTATTATTATTATGTGTTCATACACTTCTTACATATAAAGTGTCGTTTAGAATGTGTGTTCTTTCCATTAGCATGTAATCATGTGAAAAAAGAGGGACAGTGCTGCACAATACCAAACCCTAACACCCCCCCCTCCCCCCCAAAAAAAAACATACAGCATTTCCTTTGCTAGTCTTTAACTTACTGACTCTAACAAGATTAGGACACCAGTTGTGTGGAATATTAGAGGCAGTAGTCAGTGCTTGTGTGGTTTGTAAAGGTAAAAGAAATGTTCTCAGCATGCTATTTTGTGACTGGACAGATGCACATTAGGCTTCTTAATTAGACACATCGAAACTAAAATAATTCAATTAAGAAATAAGATCCAGTTTCATTGCAGTGCAGTTACTTCCTTTTCCAGAGGGTAGTGCTGTTGTTCAGGACTTGAAAATTAAGATATAGCACTGAATGAGTATCATACTTATTTTAAAAGTATGTTGTGTTACTTTTGGCTAGATTCTGTTTGTGTCTTTTTAATTGTCTTAAATTAAGTGCTTTACCAAAACCTTGAATAAAATTCACAAAGAGATACCTCTGTACTTCCTCTAAGCTGAAACCTACACTGGCAATACATTGAAGAGAACAGAAGCCCAGGAGATTGTAGGGTTGCATTCAAAAGAGGAGTCCAAGAAAATATAATGCACAGCGACAATTTGATCTGCAGCACAATCAAAATGTACCAACATTTAGAGTTCGTAGGGCTATGACATACTACCTGACATACTACGTGTAAATGAAATTTAATACGGAACAGCGTAGAGATTAAGGAATGTGAGATTGCTATGGCAAGACAGTGCCCTAAATTCGGTTAAAACAACAATTATTTGCACAATAGGCATGTTTGTCCAATTACACACACGAACATTGAAGGTACGGCCATGTGATCCAAATTTGTGACCTTTCAGTCCTTGTGGTCCCTGTCCAGCACACCACTGCCAGTTCCCCTCACTATCCAGTGATTATGAGGGAAAAGGGGCTGTAAATACTGAAAATTCCTGGGCCATAATCTCTCTTCCTCATGAGGCACAGATAAGATAAATACTCGTCAGAATTTTATTTGACAGCGTGCCGTATTGAGGATGGCTTCTGAAACATTAAACGCTACTGCAGAGTAAAAAAGAAAATAAATAAAGAATAATCTACGCAGACATCCTTCATTTTTATAAACTGTATAAAGAACTGAAGTAATGACATCATTGAGAATATACAAATCACTTAGTTCTGGGTTGCTTGTGGATAATGTTAACAAGCAAAGTCTGAAACAATGAATGAACGACAGATTTTACACATTCTTTGAGCATAGCCAATTTTTAAAATCCCTGGTTTACGTTTTAGCTATTATTTGTAATCTCAAAATTTAGAACATTAAATATGTATTCCATATCTAAGAGGTACAAAGGATTTTGCATATAGAAGTTGCATATACTGGAGGTTGTGCATCATTAAAAAAATCTATATAAACTCCATTTGAAAAACACATCATTTTAGAAAAAAAATTCTACAATCTAAAAAGCAAATTAAAAATCCTAAATATACATATTTTCACATAAAGTCTAAGAGGAAAAACACATCAATCTAACTGGTCTACTGCTTAGCCACATGCTTAATAAATGTGGCAATTAGTTTGCAAAAGTGGACATGAATATAAACAGAAGCATTTATTAAAGCAAATGTATTGTCATTACTTCTTGTGGAAGGACCTGGGAAAACGAGACTGTTCATCTGTTGATCAATGGTACAGATACGTGGTACATTAACTAAATGTCCTGTTAAAAAGGCAGAGGTAAATAGCTTGTAAATGTAATCCTTATTTATAGAAAAGTGAATAAACACAAATACAAATGATTCCGTAGTTTTAATGAAATCAGTAGAACTAAATCGACTGTATACGCACACGATATGACTAACATACCAAGAATGAATTGCATCTAGAAAGCAGAGGTGAGCTTCGATGCTTTGTAATACGTATTGAAAGAGCACAATGGTTCATTAAAGAGGACACTATGTTGGGGGAACCTTTGATTGCATTACAAGGCATTAGCCATTAGTCATTTACCTGCGATGGGCAACTTAACGCCATTTGACTCAGAAACAAGCGCTCTTCAATCTTAGTGACGGGACACACTTATTCCCTGGGCAGTGGTCAAGACAAGTCATCATGTTCTACGTGAGATCCAGACATGGACAAAATGCAGAACAAATTAAGTATGTTAAATAATAGCAGAGACTAACAACTTTTGGCGTAAAAATCTGTAAATTTTTTTATCAGTGTACATTATAACATCAGATAGTTTTAAATATTCTATGGAACATTTTTTTTACAGCAGAGACATGGAGTTAACATTGATATTAGTCTAAACTTTCATGGCCAAATGTGGATTTTTAAATCAAGCATCCATGATAAATTCCTGGCCTTACAGCCTTGCATTTCCTCAGCCGAGTGATAAATCAAGTCTTGGACTCTTTGAATCAATGCGATTTTGTCAATACATATTAATGCTATTGAGGGAAGCCCCCCCCCCACTTATGGTTGCCAAGGATCAATCTGAGCTGGAGGCCACAGGGGGGGGGGGGGGGGTTTCCGCTAAAAATAGCTAAATCATCATAAATCATGACAAGGGAATTCCATAAGAAGTAAAAAGACCTTCCATTATTTATACAGACTTAAAAGATGCACCATTCAAAAAGTGGTGAATGTGAGCAAACTGATAACTTGAATAGTGAATACTGTATCCAATGCCAATCTTTGGCTATGCCGGTTACTTTGGATGATTTTTACAGAGCTATATTTGATCAAGTTTTGTACCAGGACTGGGGTAAAACTGCGTTTGTGAATGTTTTTACACAAATGTCGCTGATGCAAACATCAGGAAAGGACTTGCTGTTGTAACACTGGAAAGCCAAAGCATTCATACTAACCTTAATCATTACAGAGATATCGAGATGTTTAAATGGATGAAATAAGAAATACGTAACACTTTTCATAAAGTGTCTATTAAATAATTTAGTCCTCACATCTGCAATGCTCGGTTTTTCCCCCAGAAAAATGGAATTTCAGGCCACAGTTACGCCCCTTGATTATATATTGATGTGTAAGACTTTAAATCAGGCTGATTTTAATTTGATCAAACCATAGAGACGGGAATGAAATATCAGTGGTCACCCCGAGCTGACGGAGGAGAAAATATGGCCATGTGGGTACCTGCCACCAGCAGTGCAGCCGTGTCCTTAAGGAGCTGATAGGAGATGTGAACATGATGTTCCTGCATCTTCAAAGGAGGGATGAACATGGTCAGAAAGTATCAGGCCTCATGTTCCACCTCTCTGCTCCTTAAAGGAAGTAGATTAATATTTCATCACCATTACGCTTCCCCTACCAAACTCCACATTTGAACCGTAACAATTATTCTCTCTCTAGACAAAAAGATGAATAACAACTATCTTTATGTCTAAGCATAATTGAACACTTGTCCACAAAATCACCTTTTGTAAAAAATGATATTTTTTACCCAAACCTATTAAATTTTTACACAACAAATGCTATTTTATGCTAAGCTCTTGTGGTACGTATAAATAAAATTCTAAACGGTGTCTCAGTTGTAAATTTATGTTTAGTTTCTTTTGTAAATGACAGTAAAATGCTCTAGGTGTGTCTGCTCCTACTTTTACGTTCCACATCTGCAAGCTGAAGTGACCAAGACACTGTCCTATTTCGTAAAACGCTTTAACCAGCATAATGGAGCACAGTGATTAGAGGAAAACAGTCTGCATGAAAGCCAGCTGGCTGAATATCATCGTCTGCCCTATGATATTGTTGTGTTGTTTTTTTTATAATAGTTTTTTTCTCTCTTTTTTTAATCATTGCAGTCTTTTGCCCAGGTCCTCTTCCAAACAGCTTCATACTTGTTCTATCAATTTTTAAAAATGTATTATTTACTTTCACTTTATTTAAATTATATTGCGTGCATTTCTCATTTTGGAGGTGTTACACCTGTCAATGTGTCTTATTTTCCAGGTTACTTGTGTTTGTATAATTTATGCATCTTTCAGGAAATGTGCGCTAACAGTGAATAATACATTTCTTCTTATTTTGATACAGCACAACAAAATGGAAATGTAACTTGGAAACGTGACACAATGTTAATAACTGCGTCATACATTTAAGACAAGCACATCAAATGTAGCATGATTTGAAAAGATGATTTTGAGTGAAAGCAAAGGTTTTATAGCCAGTTTCTTTTTAATTAATAAAAGATACTTCAAAAAATGTGTGCACTGTGTGGGTGTGTGTGCGTGTATTAGGTTTATATTACATTGTGGGGACCAAATGGCCCCCACAATGTAATAAAAACCTGCTTTTTTACATTTTTCAGGTCCCCACAAAGATCTGCGAATGCAATCAAAAAACTAAAAATTTGTTTGGTTACTTATGGTTAAGGTCAGGGCTGGGTAGGGGTCGTCATGTTGTGAGAGTTTTCCCTATTGAAATGAATGTAGAGTCCCCACAAAGATATTACAAACCTGTGTGTGTGTGTGTGTGTGTGTGGTGGGGAGGGTGCAAGTGATGTCCCCCAAATCCCATCTGTTTCCCTGTGGAATTGGAGGGGGTTATTTTGGGAGGGGTGCGTGTCGTACCCCTGCTGCTCCGCACTGCCCCTTACTGATTGATGATCTCCACTCCCCCAGGGCCACTCAGGTCATGACCTTCCACGACTGACCCCCCTACGGAGAGTCCTCAATCACACTGCTGACCAGCCCACTCTCCATACACACTCGCACAGGAACGAGCACGGCGACGTGCACACACACACACACACACACATTTACACTACACCACACACACACACACACACACACACACATACATTTACACTACACCACACGAAGGCATATTCATATGCACTTACACACGTTGGACCCATTTTTCTCTTGAAAAACAATAAAGACACATCTTTGGAAAAAAAAACCTCATGCGCATCACAGACGATTTAGCTGAGACCCAGAAAGCTGTACACGCAGATATCGACATGCACTCACACACAATTGTGCAGCCTCTCAAACAGAGATCATTCTAGCTGCATACAGACACAAATGTCCATACACATCTATTATCAACCAGGATCAGAATCAGAATTTATCCTGGAGGAACCTGCACTTGTACACCGAGGCAGACTGCTTTGTTAAAACAACGTGAGTTAACTGCGCAATGGCTTACTTTAATACGTACACAACTCAGGGATGTGCTCTTGTTCTTATATGTTATCGACAGTGTTTGTCTAAAAGTAGCAGAGCGTAATCCAGGAAATTCATCACACAGACGAATACATATTCAAAACACAGATTAATATTAAAATAAGCTCAAAAAGAGTTCTAGAGGACTTTGTTATCCTTTGAAATTCCACTTTAGCATCACTGTCACACTGTTGTCTATTCAGACAAAAAGTAGTACAACAACCTAAATATATTGTAATTATACATATTTAACGTATGCATGCATCTTGATTAATCTCTCGCCGGGCTCCCTCGCCC